GTGGACCAGGATGACTGGAGCAGCCCCACTGTGAGGGATGACCTAAGGACAACTGGTGGCATCAGGCTCCCTGCAGTGGCCTTGTCCTTGGTTTCTCTTGCTGGAAGAGCCATCCAGGCCACCACTGTCCCTGTCAGTGCCACATCTGTCAGGCCATGTTGGATATGCCTGTCAGTGTCACTGGTTCTGGACCTGCTGGGAGCCTTTCTCCCCCCAGCATCCTGCCCCTGCTCACTAATCATTTACTGGCTAAATTAGTTATTAACTTGGCAAGCCTGGCCAGGCCAGCACACACTGCCCACGGGATGTCCTACAGGCCATTGCCACCATGGCATGGGCCATCACCACTGTGGCACAGGGGGACAGGGACCCCCAGGAAAGGGACATCATGACCCCCCAGCTGTCTGCTCCATTGCTCTGTAGACACCCCGTGCCATCACCCCCTCGCTGAGCTGGCAGGGGGCACAGGGCACTGCGTGGGGTCAGAGGGAGCTGGGGCTGAGTCAGGCTGTCCCACAGGGCTGGGAAAGAAGCCAGGCCAGGGTTGGTCAGGAGCGTGGGGGCCACTGCCTCCCCAGCCTGGGGGTTCTGCTTCAATGAGCTGTTTTGTCCTTTTTGGTTTTCTTATTTTTTTTTCTGGACCAGGAGGAAAATTCTCTGCCTGTGGTGAGGCATCCCTGAGGCATCCCCAGGGGTTTGGGCACCCTCCTACCAGATCTTGCTCCCACTCCAGTCTGTTCCTAATGGAAAGTGTCTCTGCCCATGTCAGCGGATAGAACAACATGATCTTTAAGGTCCCTTCCAACCCAACCCATTCTGTGTTTCCATGATTCCACATCATCCTGGGGGGCTTCTGGGGAGGACTGGGAATTCACAGGCAACTCACAGCCTGGATAGATGTAAATGATAGTGGACAAATGAGGGCTGAGGATGCAAAACGGGATGTGGGCTGGAGGGAGGATGCAGATGACTGTTGCTGCTGGGATTTGTCAGCTGTTGGCCTCCAGCCTCTCCAGTGGGGGTGTGTAAGTGTGTATGAGTGTGCATGGATGTGCATGTTGGAGAAGAGAAGGTTGTGTGGACACCTCCCAGCAGCATTCCAAGTTCTGAAGGGCCTACAGGGAAGCCAGAGAAGGACACTTCATCAGGAACTGTAGGGATACAGCAAAGGGGAATGGCTTCAAACTGACCGAGGGGAAATTTAGGTGTGATTTACAGAAGAAATTCTTCCTGAGGGGTTGGTGAGGCACTGGCACAGAGAAGCTGTGACTGCCCCATCCCTGGAAGTGTTCAAGGCCAGGTTGAATCTGGGCTAGTGGAAGGTGTCCCTGCCCATGGCAGGACATTGGAACACAATGACCCTTAAGGTCTCTTCCAACCCAAACCATTCTGGGATTCTATGTGTGGGGCTGCTGATGGTGCTGGAGATGCTTCCAAGGGCAGGACACAGCCAGTCCAGGCTGCTGGACCAGCTGGGGCAGTTTGCTGTGGCCTCTGAGGTCCTGAGGGTGAGATCCACCTCCCGCCCTGGCTCGGAGGGACCAACACCAGAGCAGGGCTGCTGTGGCCGTGCTGTGACCTCTCAGCACTGAGGGCTGCACCTGCCCTTGAGGTGCAGCAGCATGACCAGGTCACACACTGCTCCAGGGCTGTGCTGTGGCCATGGCACTGCCTTGGGCTTGGTGACAGCTGTGGTGGCACAACCGGTCAGGGGGGTGGGCAGGGGCAGAGCCTTCTCTCCTGCCTGGTTTCACCCAGGTGAGCCTCAGGCTTTGCAGTCCTTGCAGTCCTCAGGTGTCATCCAGGACAAGGACTGTGCTGCCTGCTGTGTCCCCATGCAGGGTGTCCTCGTGGGGCAGCACAGCAGTGCTGGCAGGGTGGGTGATGCCAGGAGGGTGTGAGCCCTGGTAGGTAGGGCTGGAAGCTGATATGGCATAGCTGAACCCTATCCTTGCTCCCAGCATCCCTCCCAGCCCCACATCCAGCCTGGCTCAGGGTTTGCCAATGCCCAGAGCCCTTTCTCTGCCCTCCCCAGCTCAGAGCCCCTTTATCTCCGCCTGCAGCCACCACGTGTGGATTAGTCATGGGGAGGCTGGGGAGGAAGGAGGGAGCCTGGGGGCCGGGACAGAGGAGCTCTGTGACCAGGGGTGCTGGCACTAGGGCTCCTGCTGAGCCAGGCATTGGCACCCCACAAAGCCAGCAGCTTCCCTCTGCCCTTGCCAGGAGCCATTGGGATGTGCCAGCGCCTGAGCCAGCCCATTTGCTCAGGGCCTGGTGCCTCTGTGTGTCTGGGTGTGACAGGCACTGGGGTGGTGGCAGCAGGAGGGTGTGGGTGCTAGAGCACAGCGGTCCCAGAGCAAACACTGGGATTGGGAAAGTGCTGTCAGTGGGTGGCTGGGGACACACGTCCCTGGGAGGTCCCTGGTGTGCTTCCACTTGCCAAAGCACTGTGCTGTGTGTGTCTGAGCCTGCACCCAGGGTGGGTGGTGGGAGCTGGCTGAGCTCCTTCCATCCATCACCATGATAGTAAGGGCTCGGGTGAGGGGATAAGGGACACAGCTTCCTAACTGTCACCTGTCCTCAGGCCCCTCTAGCTCTTGGTGGCACATGCAGCCAAAGCTGCTTGTGAAGGGATGGCCACTTGTGGGTGAGTTGGATTCCCCAGTGCTTGGTCATGTTTGCCAGGGGATGCACTTCATAGTCCCCAGTGCCTCCAGGAAGCTTTGCTTACCCTGGTGAAGGAGCCAGTGAGTGACTGAGCCAGTTCCCAAGTGAGATACATCAGCCCCACACAGGCTGCTGTGGATGTAGTGGGTCAGGGCACCCACTGGCATCGTCAGCATGGGCTTCCCATCCTCTGCTCCAGCAAAGCCCACCACTAACAGTCCACATCTTGCCAAATCTGGTGTCACTTTGTGTCACCTTCCAAGCCCGTACAAGAGGGGGATCCTTGTCCCTTTCACTTCTCTGTGATTGCCACCAGGGCTACTGGGCAGGAAGCATCAGTGGTCCCCAACATCCCCTCCACACCCCGGAGGGGCTTGCTGAGCCTGGGGAGATTTAGTCACCTTGGATATTTGACTTTCAAGTCTGGTTTCAACCTCTGCAAATAATTGACTTTTGCTTTTCCATCTCCTTAAAACCTCCTAATTGGCCGTGCCGTTAATCAGAGAAGAATGAGTGACTAAGCCGACTTGCCTGCCCTGGGACCAGGGACTCTTTCTTTCCCAGGAACTGAAAGGAAATGAAACCTCAAAGTGTCCTTTTAAATCTCAGCTGTCTGCATCACTGCCCAGAGCCCTGGCCAAAATCACACAGTTTGGGAGACAGGAATTGCAACAGAGGTACTGCACAGCCGCCAGCACAGCCTGACTGGGAGCTTAGCTATTCCAGAGGAAACAGCCAAAATCAGGGCTGAGGAATTTCTCTGCTGGGACGAGACAGTGTCTTGTTCCTTGCTGTGAAGAAGTTTGTTGCATTTAAAGGCATTTCCAGCCCTGGCACAGCATGGTGCTGCTCTGTAGTTTGCTCTCGTGGCAGTGCTGGCGTCTCCTTGGGAAAGGGTTTATCTGTCCCCAGGCACTGTCCTCGGGCCATGTTTTCCTCTGGAGCTGCTCATCCCATGGGGATTTGCAGCACCCTGCAGCAAGCTGCTTCTTGTGCTGTCTTGGCTGCCAGCACAGCTCTGGGGCAGCTGCTGACAGAGAGTTTGGCTCCTGCCAGGCAGTGCCAAGCCAGCGCGAGGGGCTGTTTTGTCTGGGTTCGTGCCCCCAGCATCGTGCTGGCTCCAGCACTGGGATGCAGAGCCAGCATCCTTCCTCTGGCAGAGCCTGAGCTGTCAGAGACAGTTGGAGGAGACTCAAATTCTTCCTTTTTCACAGGCTCTGGGGCAAAGTTGAGAGGGAAATTCAAAGTCAAGGCCTCGAGTGCCAAAGGCAGCTCTGAGGGAGGTGATTCCCCCAGCCCTGGGATGCTCTGTGATGGGGTTTTGGTGTGGGAGCAACATGTGGGGTCTGGAGGTGGAGTGGGAAGGGTGGTGGGTGGGTCAGGATGCATGGGGGGTATGTGGGGAGGATGCTGAGTGGGACAGGGTACCCATGGGGTACGTGGAGAAGATGCTGAGTGGGTTAGGGTACCCATGGGGTATGTGAGGAGGATGCTGAGTGGGTTAGGGTACCCGTGGTTTATGTGGAGAAGGTGCTGGGTGGGTCAGGGTACCCATGGGGCAAAGGTGCTGGCAAAGGTTGGGAGGACATCCCCACTCCCCCACTGTGGCTGATGCCCTAGGAGGAACAAGGAGTTCCCTTGGCAGCCACCCTGGGGCTGGGGTAGCCCCATCCCAGCTGCTGGGGGGTGGTTTGCAGTGTCCCCCACCCTGTGCATCGAGGGGTGAAGGGCTGGGTGGCTGGAAGTTCTCTCTTCAGTGTGGAGTGCAGGTGGTACCTGGCAGCTCAGGCTCTCCCAACACCCCAGACTCACCCCAGTCTGGAACTGGAGATCCTGGTGGGCTCCCTGCCTCACACAGAGAGTGGCATGGGGAGTGTGGAGGGGACCAGGCTGTCCTTTCCTCTCTGAGTCTCGTACTGCATCTCCAGCTGCAGGGCCTGTGTGATGCTTGGGGCTGGGGAATGGGGGTTGCCCTCACTCTCGGCCAGCAGAGGTGGTTGGAGCAGGGCCGGGAGCTGCACAAGGCACAGGAAGCATCAGCATCATCGCCAGAATCAGCTTAACGTCAGGAATTTCCTGCTGGGGAGAGGAATCCATGAAATTAATGTGAAAGGCCAAAAAAAGAGATCATGCTGACCTCAAATCAGTCTCTGGGCTGGATGGGGAGGGTAGAAGGCAGTGGGTTCTGCTCTGGTCCTCACAGATGCTCTGGCAGCAGGAGGTGGGTGGGGAGGATGGGGGAAGATGTCCAAGTGGGGTGCCAGGGGTTTTGCAGCCAAAAAAAATCCTCAAAGCCATCCCCTGCCTAACATAGCTCTGCTTTCCCTTTGCAGAGAAGACAGGGAAGGTGCTGGGGGAGTTCTGCCGGTGCTACAAGGAGCAGTATGGTGTAGCACTCTTCAACAGTGTCCGCTATGAGATCGAGGGCAATGGGGGGCCACAGGCACAGCTGCTCCACCGCAAGGTAAGAGCTCCATCCCCCTGCCCAGTGAGTCCAGAGCAGTGTCCTGCCCAAAGCCCAGGCATGTCCCTTCTCCCTGTTCCACCCTGCCCAGTGGAATGTAGCTCCATGCCACTGGTCCAGCCCATCCCTGGGGTGTTGTGCACTGTCCATGTGGCATGTAGGGCTCCCTGGGATGTTTTTCTTTCCCGCCCCCTGGAACAAGCACACACAACAAACACAATGTCCTGAGCTGGAAGGGACCCACAAGGCTCATCACTCCGACTCCCATCACTGAACAGGGCACCCCAACACTGCACCCTGTGCCTGAGAGCATTGGCCAAACACTCCTGGAGCTCTGTCAGCCTTGGGGCTGTGACCACTGCCCTGGGGAGCTGTTCCAGTGCCCAAACACCCTCTGGGGGAAGAACCTTGTCCTGATATCCAACCTAACCCTCCCCTGGGACAACTTCAGGCTGGGAGCAGGGTAAGGCTGGCTTTGGGCTGCAGCCCCACAGAGGTCTGTGCTCCATGCCAGGGCTGGCAGGAGCTCAGGGACCCCCTGGTGCTCTGTGAAGGCATGTCAGGCTGTTGTTGTCCTGCTCCTGAGTGCAAGTGATGCTCCAGCCCAGGCAAATTCCCACGGAGGAGTAGGAAACACCTGGCAGGCATCCCTAACCCCCTGGGGGAAGCGGGGGTGGCTCTGAGTCTGATCTCCAGCAGCCACGTGTCTCCTGCCAGGATAAATGTCTCCCTTGGAGATGGAACTTGTGGATCTGGCATCCAGAGAGGGATCCTGCCCTCCCCTCCCACCTCCAAAGGCAGATGTACACTATCCAGGGCTGCTCATGAGCTGACAGGGCTTGGGGTCCTTCCTGGCACTGCTGTCCTGTGGGTGCTCCTTGAAAGCAGGAGGAGATGTGATTGCACATGCGGACAGGCTTCTGCTTTTGTCTAGGGCTTAAAGGGGTGGTTTTGTTAAGAAATATAGAAAAACCCTCAGTGAGGTCAGACTCAAGCCCTGGGTGCTCACAGCAGTTGTCTCCCTGACCCACCCATGAAGGTGACACCTTGCCCAGGCACCTAGACATGTCCCATCTCTCTGGAAGCTGCTGAGGGTGTGTTAGGAAAAATAAAGGTGTGGAGGTTCCTGGGGAGGAACCAGTTACCTGGTGTCCTCAGCACCACATCCCTTTACTTCTTTGGAATTTAGTAGATGCTTTTACCCCTTGACCCTTCTCCCCACACCCTGCCCTGTGTACCTCCATCCCCCAGGTTGGTTGCTTCATTAAAAAGCTCCAGCAAGCAGCCCAGGAATGTCTGAGGAACAGCAACAAGGTCAGGAGGTCAGGGACACTGCAAGTCTTGGAAAACACCAGTGTAAAAATAGGACATTCCTTTTGTGCAGTGTCCTGTTTGCTGCCCATCCCTTCCAGAATCCTGCCAGTGCCACTGGGATGTGTCCCATCTGCTGCACATCCCCTTCCAGCGTCCTCCCAGTGCCACTGGGATGTGTCCCATCTGCTGCACATCCCCTTCCAGGCTCCTCCCAGTGCCAGTCCCTAACACCGTGTGTGTCTGTGTGGTGGCTGTGTGAGGAGCTTGGTGAGCATCTCCTCCACAACATGCCCAAAAAGTTGTGGATGTTAAGAAAACAGGGTGACACCCTGCTTGGCCTCAGACAGCTCCAGCTGGGATGTGGCACCTGGGGCTTTCAAATGTTAGTTATTTATTACCCTTGTTTTGGTGATCTCTGAGGGGATGTGATGCTCAGAGCAGTGAGATCAGGAGCTTCTGTCCCTCCTGGGCAGAGTGGGGCAGCAGGGCTGGGGTTGGAAGTGTAGCTCAGTCACCTGAAATTCCAGCAAGATGCAACAGCAATGAGAATAAGGAATAAATCTCTGCCTCTGGTCTCTCCAGCAGCCCAGGTGTCCCCATGCAGAGCCCCTGAAAAGGCATCTCTGCTCCCATAAAAGCCCCAAAGCTGACATACCCATGGGGTTTGGTGGGATGGCCTTGCAGCAGGGATTTGGGCAGCCCAGGGGGTGGCTGCACTGGGGCTCACAGGGTGCTGGTGGCCATGAGCAGCTGCTCCCTGGCTGAGTGTCCCCTGGGCCTGTGTCAGGGCTCAGCCTGGATTTCATTCCATCAGCAGTCAGTCTGAATAGCTTTGTCTGCCCCTGGCAGTGGTTTTGGGTCTTGTTTATGAGGGCTGACTCTCCTTGGATGAGCCACTCTGGAGAGATGCTGATGGGGACTCCCGGAGCTGGCACCTCCTTTCTGTTCCCATCTCTGCTGGTGGCCTTGAGCCTCAGGCTCTCATCCCTCCTGCTGTCCTCCAGCCCTGCAGGCTTGCTTTGAGCTTTCTTCTCCCCCTTCCAAGGGCCTTGGAAAGCAGTAAGGAGCAGTGAGGTGCTGTCAGCCAAGCTGCTCTCAGACCTCCCAAAGCCCAGGGAGGTGTGTGGTCGGGAGGAGTGCAGGGCTTGGGGAAGGCAGTGAGAATCCTGTGAACCAGGAGATGGACAGAGCAGGGAGAGGAGTGGGAAAAGTTCCTCGAAGGGTCCTGGTGCTGTGACCCAAGCCCTGGCTGGTCCCTCCTGATGGCCACCGTGGTGGATGGTGGGTGGCCAGGGCAGCAGAGGCGGCTGCCGCACACTCCCGCCCGCACGAGAGCTCTCGGCTCTTGTTTATGTTCCTAGGATCATAAAAATTCTTGGGACAAATTCTTGGCTTACTCAGCAGCCTGTGTTTGGGATGGCGTAAATGCTGCTGGTGTGCTGGCCAAAAGGTGCTGGAGAGCTGGCAAGGGGCTGCTCAGCTGGGGGTGTGGGGGTGTGGGATGTCCTCGGCCTGTTCTCGCCATGGAATCATATCAGGGAATCATGGAATGGTTTGGGTTGGAAAAGACATTAAATCTCATCTCCTTCCACTCCCTGCCATGGGCAGGGCCACATCCCACTCCACCAGGTTGGTCCAAGCCCCATCCAACCTGGCCTGGAACACTCCCAGGGTTGGGGCAGCCACAGCTTCTCTGGGCAACCTGTGCCAGTGTCTCACCACCCTCACAGGGAAGAATTCCTTCCCAATATCCAATCTAAATCTCTCATCCCGGTGCTGGGCACTACAGGTTGGCTTCTTGTTTTTCCACTGTCCAATCTGGAGACCCTCCTAGACAGGGCTTGGTGTCTGCCATTTGCCGATGCCTCTTCCCTGCAGGTCCCTGACTGGACCTCGTGGCTGGTGGCCACTGCCAGCACTGCCACACATCTTCCTCCCTGCCCCAAGCCAGGGAAAGTGCAGTAGTTGGTGCTGGGAAGAGCTGCTGGAGGGCTCTGCTCCAATCTGCCACTCAGCCACGTGAGCTCAGGTCTCTCAGCTGAGCTTGGGGTGTCTCCCAGGATGGAGATTCCCAAGGCAGAGGTGTGACCACCACGAACAGACCTGGCTGAACTGTGGCTGTGGGACGGAGGGGTGCCCAGCTGCCCCTCTCCATGACCCCTCTGTGCCTCCCACCACCTGTCTCCTCCCTGCAGGTCCCACTGGAGGACCATGTCATCTACTCAGGCAACATCTTCCAGTACATCGAGGAGACCAAGAAGTGGAGGAACCGCTTCTGTGTGGTCCCACACAACTATGGCTTGGTCCTCTATGAGAACAAACTGGTGAGGAGAATCCCCCTTTTGCCCATCTCCAGTGGGGACAGCTCCAAAGGGGACACCCCATCATGGTGCCATGGCCATGCTCCCCATCATCCATGACCATCTCTTCCTGCTCAGGCCTATGAGCGGGAGCTGTCGCCTCGTGTGCTGATCAACAGTGCTGGCTACAAGATCCTCACCTCTGTGGACCAGTACCTGGAGCTGGTGAACAACAGCCTGCCTGGTGAGTGTTGCTGGTGGCTGCAGGGTCAGGAGGGGTGCTCAGGGTCTCCTACATCCTGATGCTGCTGGGCATCCCTTGGGGACCTTTGGGAAGGGGTGGGTTTGGGGTGTAGCATCTCTGAGGACCTTCTGGAAAGGATGGTTTTGGGGTGTAGCATCCCTAGAGTACCTCTGAGGGGGTCGTTTTGGGGTGAAGCATCCCTGAGACCTTCAGAAAAGGATGAGTTTGGGGTGTAGCATCCCTGGGAGCCTTATGAAAGGGATTGTTTTAGGGTGTAGAATCCCTGAGGGCCTTCAGAAAGATGTGGGTATGGGGTATAACATCCTTGGGGACCTTCTGTAAAAAATGGTTTTGAGGTGTAGCATCCTTGAAGACCTTCAGAAATGGGTGGGTTTGGGGTGTGGGGCTGTAGGGCAGGAGAATGGCCCCATTTCCCACTGTGGGGTGTGAAGTCTCTGGTATTTAGGTCCTACCACAGCCACCAGGGAAGGAAGGCAAATGTGTCCGTGGCTCCATGAGAACCACAAGATTTTTAATGCTTTTTAATTGTATTTTTCAAGTTTCCCTTCTGATTTCCTTTCTTGGAAGAACAAGACTATTTTTTCACCTTTTTTTGTCCCACATTTTGGTAGAACTTAAAGCAAAAGCTCTGGGGGAGACGGACACCCCCCAACCCTTCACCATCCCCATCCCTGTCCTGCTCCATCTCCTCCTTAAAGCATCCTCCTCTCTCTTCAGGTGTGATCCCCAAATCGGGGCACTCCCCCATCCTGAAGTGTCCCACGGATTTCCCCCTCATCCTGTGGCATCCCTATGCCAGGCACTATTACTTCTGTGTGATGACAGGCAAAGAGCAGGAGAAGTGGCGCGCGGTGTTCCAGGACTGTGTGCGGCACTGCAACAATGGTGAGTGATCCAGGGGGGACCTGAGACATCTGGAGGGGGAGAGAATCATCCTCCTGCTCCAGAGAAGGTGTTGGGTACCCTGTGGCTGGATTGGATTTTGGGACAAGTGGGATGATTTAGAGATCATGAGGAGGAATTGACTGGGAGTTGTGGAGCAGCTCTGGAGAAGAGAAGGCTCCAGGTAGACCTTTCCTGTGCCTAAAGGGGCTCCAAGAGAGATGGAGAGGGATTTTTGTTAGGAACTGCAGTGACAGAACAAGGAGTCATGGGTATAAATTGAAAGAAGGGAAATTTAGCTTAGCTATCAGGAAGTTTTCCTGTGAGGGTGGTGAGACAATGGCACAGGTTGCCCAGAGAGGCTGTGGCTGCCCCAATGTGGAAAACCAGGTTGGCTAAAGCCTTGAGCAACCTGCACTGGTGGGAGGTGTCCCTGCCCAGGGTAGGGGGTTGGGGCTGGATGATCTCTAAGCTCCATTCCAACCCCATAATTGATACATACTGTGATACTAAAACTTGGACAAGAGTTTGGAGGGACAGGACAAGGGAATGGCTTCAAACTGCCAGAGGGCAGGGTTAGATGGGATATTGGGAAGAAATTCTTCCCTATGAGGGTGGGGAGACACTAGCACAGGTTGCCCAGAGAAGCTGGGGCTGCTCCATCCCTGAGAGTGCTCCAAGCCAGGATGGAGGTTGGATGGGGCTTGGAACAACCTAGTTTAGTGGGATGTGTCCCTGCCCATGGCATGGGCTGGAATGAGATGATCTTTGAGGTTACTTCCAACCCAAACCAGTCCCTGATTCTATGATTGAGCACCTTACCAATGTCACCCTCTTTGAGCATGGGGCAAGCAGGAGAATCCAGCTGCCCACAGCATCCCTGTGCTCAGCTCCATCCCACTGCTATAAGGAACACAAAGCATTTGCAGGAGCCAGCAGAGAGCCTGGCTCAAGAGCTGCCCTGATGCTTATTTTCCACCCTGAGGTAGAAAATAGTTGGCAACTAAAGTGACCAAACCCCCAAGCCCCATCTGGGCTGTTGGGGCTGTGGGCAGAGGGAGCAGGGCAGCCTGGCCGGGACAGGGGCAGGACCTGCCTCCCACGTCAGCGAAACCCTGGCAGGAAAACAAGATTTTCCTGCTTGGCTGAGGCCTGTGCACTCCTGGGCTGAGCCCCAGGTCGTGGCCATGCCTGGGATGGTGAGAAGTTTCCTGGGGAAGGAGGTGCCAGAGCTGAAACCTGCTCAAAGTTGGGTGTTTTAGTGGGCAAAGAGCAATGCTGCCTGTTTTTTAAGATCTTCATTCACTCCTAGGAGCTCTGTGTAGTCTTGATTTTGCTCAGTTTTGCCAGAGCTACTGTTTAGGGAGCAGAGTAGTGGGGTGGGATGCAGAGCCTGGGTTTTGGTGAGAGTTTTCATCCTCCTATGTTAAATAAATCTTCTGAAAGCTTTACTCTTTCCTTTGTGTGCTGGGGGTGTCTGAGCAAATTGGGCTGAATGTGTCCCCAGGGCCTGGCTCCTCTGATGGGGAGTGGGTGGAGTGACCCCTCATCCCCCTGGGATGCTGCTGCCCAGGGATCACTGCTGGATGGAGCTCAGCACCTGAGCCCCCCCGTGCTGGCTGGACCCACAGTGCCAGGGCAATGTGAGCAAAAACAGCTCCTGATAAAGGAGGAATTGATTTCTCCTACTAACAAAAAGCCAATTTATGTATCTTTAATTCCTGCCCTGGCTGCTGAGTGCTGCTGCAGGAGAGAGGGGAGGTGTGAGCCTCTCCACCATTCCCATGGTTGTGCCAGTAAATAAATCCTCTTCTCCCTCTCCTCAGCATGTGATGGAAAGTCCTTCCTGGGGTGGGCAGTGGCCAAGGAGGGCTCAGTGCCGGAGGGGTTCTGCATTCCTACAGCCTGGATTTCTCTGTGAGATGGTTCTTCCTGCCCCTCACTGCTCCTGGGAGCTCTGAGATAGTGTTTCATATTCTATGAAAGCTCTTTTGTTGTTGTTGAGCACTTTACATTTTTTTCCCCCTAAATTAGAGGCTCTGTTTCTGCCTCTGGTGGTGATTCATGTGGGAATTTTTGCCTCCCTTTCTCAGGCTGTGTTTCTGTAACACCAGCTCTTCTGTAATGCTGGAGACATGCAACACCATTCTTCACACAGGCTGTGTCCAGCCTGGAGCCCTTGGCTGCTCCAAGACTGTCCCTTGCCCTGTCTGGTGTCATGTGGGGCTGGAGCAGTGCTCACCCTGTCACTCTTGCCCCTAGTTGCAGGATTGCTTGTTTTGGAAGGGACCTTAAAGCTCATCCAGTTCCACACCTTTCCAACCTGGCTTGAAACACTCCCAGGGATGGAGCAGCCACAGCTTCTCTGGGCAACTTGTCCCAGTGCCTCAGCACCCTCTGAGTGAATAATTTCCTCCCAATATCCCATTTAAACCTGCCCTCTGGCAGTGGGAATCCATTCCCCTTTGTCCTGGCACTCCAGGACTAAGCTGCATATTAATGAAGCAAACTCATTAAATTTGCCCTGTGAAGTGGCACAGGAGCTTCTTACACCTGTCACGCTCATCCTTGGGCAGGGTGCAGGGCTGGAGCAGGCTGAGGGATGTCCTCAGGTTCAGCAAGGGGTGAGTGACCCTGAGGGGCAGATCCAGGTGGCTTCTTGGATGGCCAATCCTGCCCCATGATCTGCAGAGTCTGGAAGATGAGGTTTGCCCATAGCAGCTCTGGCTGGGGTCCAAAGCCTGTGCCAGGCTGTCCCACCTGGGAGCGGATGCTGAGCTGCCAGGAGTCATGGATGGAGGAGCACCAGCCCCTGGAAGCTCAGCCCAGCCTTGGCTCCCACCAAGCAGTGAGAAAGGAGCAGATTTGACTTTCTCAGTGATTTTCCCCCTTGCATATTAAGCTGCCCATTACGAAAAGCTGCTTAGGCTTGGAATTAATTGTAATCATCTTAGAAAAGTCTGTGTGCACTGGGAAGGATCCACTCACTGCCCCTTCTGGAAAGGGAGAGCTCACCCTTGGCTGTGTCCCTCAACACACCACATTGTCAGGTGGCCCAGGGACAATCTGTCACCCTCCACTGTCCTTGCTGCAGGGAGACTCTCCATGAGCCTCTGAGCAGGGTGGCTCTGCTTCCTTCCTGCAGGTCAGGGCATGGGGAGTGGAGTCAGGGGGTTCACTCCCAGGGGTGCAGTTTCCTCCACAGCCCAGAGAGGCTGGAACAAGGCAAGGACACGTGTGGAACATGCATTGGACATGTGCCAGCAGGCTCCCAGGCTGTACTGCCTGTCTGCTTCTCATCCTCCTCCCCATGGGATGTGGCCACAGGCTCCCAGCACCCTGCCCTTCCTCCTGATGGGTGCTGTGGGAGGGTGAGGGTGACTCTGAGCCCCCTTTGTGCTGGTGACCCCCACGAGCCATGCTGCAGTGACTCACCTTGGGGGCAGCCCAACTGGCTGGGGATGGAGCTCTTGACTCATTCCTGATGCCTCTCAGCTGCTTTCCTCTTCTCCCTGAGCTGCACAGCTCCTTGCAGGGCTCCCCCTTCCTCCAGCAACCCCAGCTGCACTGTCCTGCAGTTTTGGGGGGCTCATGGGGCCCCATGCAGTGCTGGGGTTCACTCAGCCCCCCATCCTGCTGAGCTCCTGCTCCTGCTGTGGCTCCAGAGCTTGCTGAGCCACCAGGTCCTTGTGCAGCGTTGGGGGTCCCTCAGCCCCCCATCCTGCTGAGCTCCTGCTATACCTCTAGAGCTCACTGAGCCCCTGCTGTGGCTCTAAGAGCTCACTGAAGCCCTGGGTCCCCATGCACCATTGGGGGTGCCTGAGTCCCCCACCTTGCCAAGCCCCTTCTCTTGCTGCATCTTTAGAGCTTACTGAGCCCCCAGGTCCCTGTGCACCATTGGGGGCCCCTGAGCCCCCCATCCTGCTGAGCTCCTGCTCCTGCTGTGCCCCTAGAGCTCACTGAGCCCCTGGGTCCCCATGCACCCCTTGCATTGGGGGTCCCTGAGCCCCCATCCTGCTGAGCCCCTGCTCCTGGGTGCCTCCCTGCCTTTGGTTTGGCTCTGGAGGGCATCACTCTGTGGACAGACCGGGAGCCTTCCCAGTCACTTGAGTGTCTGGGAGGCTGCTGCCCCCTACCCTATCTGAGACAGCAGCTTGGGACAGGATCCCCCTGTCCTGGTGATCCTGTCCTGAGCATCCCAAGCCCTGTGCTCCTTGCACGGGTCCGAGGGTGTGGGAGACACAAGGAACACCCTGCGAAGATGGGCTGGGGTGCTGCAAACAGCATCTCCCCATCATGTCCAGGGTCCAGGCTGCTCACTTGTCCCTCCATCCCTTCCCCAGGGATCTCTGAGGACTCCAGGGTGGAGGCTCCAGCCTTCACGGATGCCATCCGCATGTACCGGCAGTCCAAGGAGCAGTACGGCACCTGGGACATGCTGTGTGGCAACGAAACACAGGTAGGACCTGTCCCCTCCAGCCTGGGGTGGGTGTGTGTGGGCTGAACAGAGTCCCCAAACACTCCTGTCTTCACAGGTCCTGAGCAACCTGGTGATGGAGGAGCTGCTCCCCGAGCTGAAGACCACCATCGGCCCCCGGCTGAAGGGCAAAGCTCCGGAGCGCCAGCGGACCTGGATCCAGGTGTGGGGCTGGGGCTGCTGGGGAGGGCTCTGTCTCACCATCTCCTGCCTTCCCCCTGCCTGTAGCCCTGCTTTGGGGGCTGCAGTGCTTCCTGCCCTCCCCACTGGGCTCGGTGCCCACCAGCCCCTTCTCCTGGCCCCCTCCAAAGAATCCATCCTTTCTCCATGGTGGCTTTTTAAAGCTCCTCACTGTGCCCTTGCCCAGCCCTGCCCAGCCCTGCCTGTGCTGCCTTGTCCCTGGGGCCAGGGAAGCAAACAGAAGGAAGCCCAACCCCGGAGCAAAGCCAGTCCTGGCTATATTTAGCAACCCATTTTTAGAGCAGCACAGGCTAAATCTAGCCCAAACCCTTGCAAAAGACTGAGGGCTCTTCAAAACTGCCTCTTTAAAGCCTTAAAACTCAATAGATAATTACCATCAGGCTCATAATGGGCCACTGGAGCAGCCTAAAAACACACAAACACTGCTTTTTCAGTAGCTGTGATCTTAGCTGCAAAGCTGGGAAGCCCAAGGGAGGGAAGGGGGGGTGGCTCTGCCTCCTGCCAGCCCCAAAATCGTGGACTTTGGCTGCAAAGTGAGTGTGAAGCCTCAGTGAGTAGCTCATGGGGTTGAGTAGCTCCTGAGACCGTAGGCAGGCTGAGTGGGGCAGGGCACAGCTTTCAAATGGGGTGAGGAGAGTCTCCTGCCTGGACCAGCAGTATACCTGGACCACCAATATCCTCAGCCCTGCAGCGTCTCCAGACCTGCAGCATTCCTGGATCACCAGTATCCCTGGACTACCAGCATCCCCAGCCCTGCCTGGGGCAGGTTGGCTGAAGGAGGCAGTGCTCACCTCTGTGCCCCTCTAGCACCACTTCAAAGCAGCTTCTGCACTGTAGGAGCTTCGTCTCACCCAACTGAGGGGTCTCTGGTGTGGAAACCTACTGCCAGGCTGCAAGGAAGGGTCCTGTCAGGGAAGGAGTGAAGATTCAGCAGGTCCTGCAGCCACCTGGTGCTGCAGGTGATGGTTGGAGGCAGCAGATGGAGGCATGGGGGGCAGCTGACCATCCCACCTCTCTCTCTTCACCCCAGATCTCAGATGCTGTCTATAGGATGGTCTATGAGCAGACCAACGCGCAGTACGACGCAGCCATGGCCAGGTGTGAGCAGGAACGGCCCCAGCTGGAGAGCACCATCCGCACGGACATGGACCAGATCATCACTTCGAAGGAGCACTTGGCCAGCAAGATCCGAGGTACAGCCCTGCAGGGAGAGACATGGCTGTGCATGGCTGTGTCCTTGACTGGCTCTTGGGACCCTTGGGGAGGTGCCAGTGACTGCAGTTGTGGTGTGCATGTCCTCATTGGCATTGTCCCAGGATGAGGGGACAAGGTGGGCAGTCACCTCCCCCCAGGCATGGCAGTGGGGCAGGAATGGGTTCAGTACAGACCAGGGACCTTCTGCAAGATCCCATTGTGTTGTCCTGCAAGTGGGAGCCTTCTGGAGGGGCTCATGAAGAGGGGCAGGTCTTCCTCCCTGGGGTGGGTTTAGGAGCTGATGTGAAGAGCTGGGAGGACAGAGGAACCTCACCATGCTTATCTCTGCTCTCTGCCCAGCGTTCGTCCTGCCCAAGGCAGAGATCTGTGTCCGTAACCACGTCCAGCCCTACATCTCCTCCATCCTGGAGGCCCTGATGACCCCCACGAGCCAGGGCTTTGCTGAGGCAAGGGAGGTGTTCTTCAAGGAGGTGACAGACATGAACATGAACGTTGTCAACGAGGGTGGCCTGGAGAAGCTTGTGGAGGTGAGACCTCATGGTGCTCCTTGGTGATCGGTGGTCTTAGGGGTGGCAGGGCCAGTTCTGCTGCCATTCCCAGTGTGGACAATTTGGGAGACCCCAGGCTGAGAAAATACATGGGATGAATCCCATGTGGGGTGGCATGTCCCAGCCCCAAGTGCACAGAGAGGTTGTCCTACCCTGCTGAGTTTGGCTTTGTCCCCAGTACATGGAGAAGCTGTCCCACCTGGCCTTCCACCCTGTCAAGATGCAGTCATGCTATGAGAAGATGGACCAGCTGAAACTGGAGGGTCTTCAGCAGCGATTCGATGTCTCCAGCACATCTGTCTTCAAGCAGAGGGCCCAGATTCACATGAGACAGGTGGGATGGGGACAGGGCTCTTCCTGTGTCCTCCTGGGGAGCCCATGCTGGTCCAGTCCAGCCAGGGCTTTGGTTGGGCTGTCTGTCCTGTCTCAGGGACTCAACTAAGGGTGGGTGATGGATCCCATTTGGTCTGGAGCCTGAACAGGGAGGGACCCCATGAGTGGGCAGCAGCATGGCATCCTTCCAACTCATCTCCCAGGCTTGAGCATCAGGGCACAGCTGCCCCTTTGTCACTGAGCCCACTGGCACCAGTAAGGCCAGTAGCCCAATTTTTGGGTCTAATCCAGCCAAACCTAGAGTGGGATATAGAACAATGGTGGGATGCAAACCAGCTTTGGGCACACTCTTCCCCCAACACCCTTAGTCCTTGGGGTGGAGGCTGTGGATGCCATGCTGGGATGCCAAGGACCTTGCCAGAGTGAAGGCTATTTGCCTGTTAGATATTAGGAAACAGTTCTTCCCTGTGAGGGTGCTGAGACACTGGCACAGGTTGCCCAGAGAAGCTGTGGCTGCTCCATCCCTGGAAGTGTTCCAGGCCAGGCTGGACAGGGCTTGGAGCAACCTGGGCTAATGGAAGGTGTTGCTGCTGATGGCAGGAGGTGGAACAAGGTGAGCCTTAAGGTCCCATCCAACCCAAACCAGTCTAGGGTTCTGTGATGAGGCTCATCTTGGTGTGGCAGTGCCTCAAGAGCCCCCTGCCCACCCTTGTGGTTGGTCCCTTTGGGTGTCCCCCCCACAAAGTTGACCACCTGCCTCTGCTCCCAGCAAATGGACGATGCTGTGTACACCTTCGAGACGCTGCTGCATCAGGAGCTGGGGAAGCTGCATGGCAAGGACGACCTGTGCAAGTCCATCCAGCGCATCCTTGAGAGGGTGCTCAAGGTGAGGACCTTCAGTGGCCTTTGGTGGCTTTGTTCCACAGGCCAGCAGCCTGAGGAAGAGGCCAGGAGTGATGTTACCTCTGTCAACAGAAGTCTTCTGGGGAAATACTTCTTTATATTGAGGTTCTCATGGATTTTGTTGGGGTGTGGAGCAGGCAAGTGGGAAATCACCTTCAAGTCATCATCCTGACCACATGGATCACTGTAAAAGCCACTCAGGGTTCAGACTGGCTCCAAAACCCTCCTGCAGCCATCAGTGGAGGAGCTGGGTCCTACCTGGGCAGGTACCCCAGGAACCAGCTGGAGAGAGGGATGTGAGGGGCAGAAGAGTCACATTCAGTGTGTGAAAATTGGTTGTGGGGACAAATCTCAGGGTCTTGTGGCCATGGGCAAGGGTGTCTGCCAGCCTGCAGCCCTCAGTGACCTGAGGAGCCTCTCACTTGCCCTGCAGAAATTCGACTATGACAGCAGCACTGTGCGGAAGAAGTTCTTCAGGGAGGCCTTGCTGCAGATCACCATCC